GCTGAGGATCGAACCCGGGCCGCACGCATGCCAGGCGAGTGCGCTACCGCTTGAGCCACATCCCCAGCCCCCATCTATTGACTTTTTAATTTGGTTTATTGTTTCCTTCACTTCAAGGATTTCTGTTTGGTTTATTTTCAGAATCTCTGTCTCTTTCTTGAAGTAATCTTTTTTACTTGAATTTGCTCTCTTATCTTTGTTAGAGCAATCAATTGTTGCCTGTATTTGCTCTCTTATATCATTACTTGCTTTGCAGATCATTTTAATTATGTACATTCTGAACTCCTTCTCTGATATTTGATCTATTGTGCTGTCAATGGATTCTATTATTGTACCATCTTGGTTTGTTTGGGGCACTTTCTTCCCTGAATTTTTCATGTTGTCCATGTGTCATCCTCTCTAGCAGTGCGGATCCAAGGTATTACAGTTTCTACCCTATAATCTTGTAGTGTCCCTGCAGGTAACCCCTTTAAGGGGGGAGATCAATATTTACAGCACCCAATGCAAACAGTATTCACCTGTAAACCATATACCTCTTATTTAGACAATTAAGTTTTGTTGCAATAAACAGAAATGGTGTCTACTATTTATATATGTAGTAGATTTCCGTTGGGGTCTACAGTTTCTAACGGTGGACAAAGAGAATGTGTGGTGGGGTATAGGATGTGGGGTTTATGACGTAGGAGGTGAGAATATAGAGGTATTAGATCATAAGAAGAGTGAAAGAGGAATCAAGAGAAATAGGCTAGCAGGGATACCTCTGGTGTAACCAAGCCTGCCAGGGACCTTGGTGATGGTCTTCCAGGTCCTCGTTGTTGTCTCTAGTTGTTCCTAGTTGTTGGTAGTGACAGTGTCAAATCTATAGTTACATTGATGTTAGGCTTCCAGGGCCTAGCCGGTGTCCTATGCTGGAAGCTGCCCCAACTAAAGATGGTGATTGCGGCAGCGGAGGTGTTCCTAAGATGGAGGTGACCGCTTTCAGAGATGGGGCTGAGAGGGCAGGCTGTGTGATGATGTTCAGAGATGCAGTGCTACAGAGGGTTGCTGCCTCCAGGTGCTGTCTGTTGCCCCGAGGTAGAGGCTAAGTATGGTATGGAGGTGGCTGCAGTGTCCCAAGATGGAAGTGGGCTGGGAGATCAATGCATTGGTAGATGGGGGGCCACAGTGTGGTCTTCTCCTCTGTGCCTTCGTGGTCCAATCTAGGGCTTCTTGTATACTTCCTTTCTGAGAGGGGTCTAATTAAGTTACCCAGGCCAGCTTGAATGTGAGATCCCATTTCTGCCTCAGCTTCCCACATCCCTGGAAACACAAGTGGGTGCCATCATACCTGATTTATCTTTCACTTTTATCTCCCAGTTCTTCCAGTTAAATTGATATTCTTTATTTGGTCTATCTTGTTTTTTTAAGTGGTTCTTGTTGGTTGCTCCTGAGATTACAGAATGAATGGTCTTCTCACTGAGAAGTTTATGTAAAGGATTTCTACCTTGGATTAGTGGGGGTCAGCGAATTAGTATTCATTTGTTATCTTCCAAAGTAAAGTCTTGCATTTTATATTTTAGTAGTACAAATCCTAGATTTTCACTTAAAAGAAATGTGTCTGAGGATCTTGAGAATGAAACATACAATACATATTGCAGAGTGAAATGTTATGGTCAAAGCCTTTCAGAAAAGGTGGTGCATTCCCTGAATTGATCTATATATTTAGTGCATTTGAAATAAGATCTCGTCAAGATTTTTTAAAAAAAATAAATCAGCAATTGGTCCTAAAATTTATATGGAAAAGCAAAGGGACAAAAAACAATTTGGAAAGGACTCAAGTTGGAAGACTCACATTACCTTATTTTTTTTAAATTGTTGATAGACCTTTATTTTATTTATTTATACGTGGTGCCTCATACATGCCAGGGAGGTGCACTATCACTGAGCCCCAGCCCCAGCCCCACATCATCTTATTTTTAGACTTACTGTACAAATCACACATAGAGGTACACACCTGTAATTCCAGGAGACCAGCCTGGACAATTTAGTGAGACCCTATCTCAAAATAAAAAAGGCTGGGATGTAGTTCTGGGATAGAGCCCTTACCTAGCTAGCATAGGTGAGGTGCTGGGTTCAATCTCTAGTACAACCCCTGCTCCCTACCCCCAAAAGACTTACTACTCAAATAGTGTAATTAAGCAGTTGTCTTGGCAAAATGTATAGACTTAAAGATCAGTGGAAAAATAAGAGACCTAGAATAGCTGAAGACCTAGAATAGCACTTTTCCTTAGCAGGAAAAGTGAAGCAGGTGGCATCACTATACCAGACCTTAAACTATACTACAGAGCAATAGTAACAAAAACAGCATGGTATTGGTACCAAAACAGGCTTTTAGACCAATGGTACAGAATAGGGGACAAAGAGACTAATCCAGAAAACTACAATTATCTTATATTAGACAAAGGTGCCAAGAACATGCATTGTAGAAAAAATAGCCTCTTCAACAAATGGTGCTGGGAAAACTGGAAATTCATATGCAACAAAATGAAATTAAACCCCTATCTCTCACCATGCACAAAACTCAACTCAAAATGGATCAAGGACTTAGGAATACAACCAGAGACCCTGTGTCTAATAGAAGAAAAAGTAGGCCCTAATCTTCATCATGTGGG